ATCTTCATTTGCTGCTGCTGCTGCTGCTGCTGCTGCTGCTGCTGCTGCTGCTGCTGCTGCTGCAGCAAGCGATCCGCGTCCAGGAGGAGAAAGTCTCTTACTTGTCCAAAGCAGCAGCAAGGGCCCCCACAGAGACAGCCTGGGGGCCCCCCGAGGCCCCGGGGGGGCCCCCCAGTGCAGCACGGGGGGCCCCCGCTGCAGCAGCAGCAGCAGCAGCAAGAGCAGCGGGGGCCCCCGGGGGCCCCCAGAAGAAGAAGAGAAGGGGAACAAAGAATTAAACAAACAAAAAAGTTCTTTTAAACCCCACACCTCGCGAACACGCCGTGAACCCCGCATGCACGCATGCATGCATGCATGCATGCATGCATGCATGCATGCATGCATGCATGCAGCTGCATGCATGCATGCATGCATGCATGCAGTGTTGCGCATGCTGTGGGGTTTTGGGGCTTTGACAAAGCCAAACTGCCGAGGGGCCCCGAGGCCCCTCGAGACCTACAAAGGACTTCAACTTTGCATGCATGCAGCTACGCATGCATGCGCTGTTGCTGTACATGAGTGCATGCATGCATGCATGCATGCGTGCATGCATGCATGCATGCATGCATGCATGCAGTTGGTATGTGGAGTCCGCTGCTGCTGCTGCTGCTGCTGCTTCGTGCTGCTGTTGCATGCTGCTGCTGCTGCTGCTGCACGCGGCAGATCCACCTCGAAACGAAGCCGTCAATAAAGAGTACGCTGCAGTGGGCCTCGGGTCCTGCTGCTGCTGCTGCAGGTGCTGCTGCTGCTGCAGGTGCTGCTGCTGCTGCAGGTGCTGCTGCTGCTGCTGCTGCTGCTGCTGCGAGCTGAAGCAAATAGTTCGCCCCTAATGCACAGGAAACCCTAACTGTGCATGCAGGGGCCCCGGGGCCCCCCAAGCTTTAAAAGGCCAATATGTGCGGTGCTGCTGCTTCAGCAGCAGCTGCTGTGGGCTGCTGCTGCTGCTGCTGCTGCTGCTGCTGCTGCTGCTGCAGGGTCTCCGCCGTAGCAGCTGCTGCAGTTGCTGGTGCAGCATCTGCTGCTGACGGGACCTGCTGCTGCTAGTGCTGCGGTGGGTGCGTTTGGCCCTAGGTTTGTTGCTGCTGCAGTCGGTCTTGCTGCTGCTGCAGCTGCTCTCGCTGCTGCTGCTCCATTTCCTGCTGCAGCTCGCGCCTCCCCTGCTGCAGCAGCTCCTGCTCCTGCTGCAGCTGCTGCTTCAGCTCTTCTGTCATTGTTACAACTTGCTGCTGCAGCAAATCTTCAGGACACTCCCGCTCTTCTTTTATGCTGTTCAGCAGCGGCTGCTTCCCTTCCCACATGCAGGTCTTTCCACCCCACTGGCCTGAGCAGCAGCAGCAGCAGCAGCAGCAGCAGATGCAGCAGCAGCAGCAGCAGATACAGATGCAGCAGCAGCACATGTAGCAGCAAGAGATGCACCAGCAGCGATGGCCGCAGCAGCAGCAGAAGTGTTCATAAGGCAAACGGCAGCAGATTCGGCCATGCAGTAAATGCAGCAGCAGCAGAAGCAGCAGCAGCAGAAGCAGCAGCAGCAGAAGCAGCAGCAGCAGAAGCAGCAGCAGCAGACGCCATAGCAGCAAACTGACACGTGCAGCAGCGGCAAACACAACAGCAGCAGCGAAAAATGCAGCGGCAACACACAGCGCAGCAGCAGCAGTGGGAACAGCACCGCAGCGGCACCGGAAGCAACAGCAGCAGCAGCAGCAGCAGCAGCAGCAGCAGCTCACCGCTGCGAACAACACTGCGGTATCTTCTCTGCACGCCGTCTATGCAGGGCTGTCTCCATTCACTCCATTCCGTCATGAGGCAGTCTACCTTCTGCAGCAGCAGCAGCAGCAGCAACAGCAGCAGCAGCAACAGCAGCAGCAGCAACAGCAGCAGCAGCAGCAATGAGAGCAGAAGCAGCAGCAGCAGTGCGTGCAGCAGCAGCAGCAGCAGCAGCAAAAGAGCAGCCGCACACGCCCTCCGAAAGGTTGGGCCTGAGAGCTCTAGTCCAGCTGCAGCTGCAGCTGCACCCCCCAGCGACCCTTAGGGTTTAGGGTTTAGGGTTTAGGGTTTAGGGTTTAGGGTTTAGGGTTTAGGGTTTACGGGTCTGTCTGGGTTGGGCAGCGGGCGGCAAAGATAGAAATCTGCTGCGTGGCAGCTGCGAGCAGCAGCAGAAGGATCTGCTGCTCGCAGCCTTTCGAGTTCAGCAGCAGATATGAAGGTCCCTGCGCAGCAGCAAACCCGCAATTAGGGTTTAGGGTTTAGGGTTTGGGGCTCGTGGGAAGCTGGCGGAAGGAGCAGCACACAAAAGAAAAAAAGCAGCAGCAGCAGCAGCAGCAACAGCAGCAACAGCAGCAGCAGCAGCGGCAGCAGCAGCAGCGCCAGTTTCGCCGCCCCCCGCCCGCCCCGCTGCCCCCAAACCCTAAACCCTAAACCCTAAACCCTAAACCCTAAACCCTCACCGGGGTCGTATTTGATTTCGAAAGAAGGGGCTGAAGCGTTTGCTGCGCTGCTGCAGTGTACGTACACCTCGTAGTCCACATAAACTCCTTTTCCTTTAAATCCATATTCGGAATTATCACAAAGAGCCCGCAGCCACGCGGGGGCCCTTTTTGCTGCTGCTGCTGCTGCTGCTGCTGCTGCTGCTGCTGCTGCTGCTGGGCTCTGTTCGCTCCCCGCGGCAGCAGCTGCCGCCTCCTCGCCGCCCCCTTCTCCTGCTGCTGTTTCTGCTGCTGCTGTTTCTGCTGCTGCTGCTGCTGCTGCTGCTGCTGCTTTCTGCTGCCGCTCAACATCCCGCACATCCATCCAGCTGCACAGCACGAACCCCTCAGGGCACTGGCACCTGCAGCAGCAGCAGCAGCAGCAGCAGCAGCAGCAGCAAAAGCAGCAGCAGCAAAGCAGCAGCACACGAATGAAGCCCGGAAAGCCAAGCGAGAAAGCACCTGCAGCAGCTGCTGCAGCAGCTGCTGCAGCAGAGGCTGCTTAAAGGAGCAACAAAAGAACCGCAGCAGCAGCAACTGCAGCAACAGCAGCAACTGCAGCAGCAGCAGCAACTGCAGCAGCAGCAGCAACAGCCAGGGCTGCAGCAAGTGCCAAAAACGCCGAGAGCGCATCCGCTGTAGCATCCGCTGCTGCTGCTGCTGCTGCTGCTGCTGCTGCTGTTGCTCTTCCAGCTGCCGCTGCTGCTGCTGCTGCTGCTGCTGCTGCTACGTATAGATAATTACCTGTCTGGGTCTCCTTCCTCAGCAGCAAAAATGATGCACTTGTCTCCTTCAAAACCGAGGCTTTGTGCCCTGCTGCTGCTGCTGCTGCTGCTGCCGCTGCTGCTGCTGCTGCTGCCGCTGCTGCTGCTGCTGCTGTAGCTGTCGCTGCTGTGAGTGGTGTCGCTGCTGCTGCCTTCGCTGCTGTAGCTGTCGCTGCTGTAGCTGCTGTCGGTGCTGTAGCTGTCTCTGCTGCTGCTGTTGCTGCTGCTGCTGTCGCTGTCTCTGCTGCTGCTGCTGCCTGTGTCTCTGCTGCTGCTGTCGCTGCCCCTGGTGCTGCTGCTGCTGACGTCGCTGCTCTCAGTGGGGTTGCTGCTGCTGCTGCTGCTGCTGCTGTAGTCCTCGCTGCTGTCGTAGTCTTCGCTGCTGCTGCTGTGCTCACTCACAGCTTTCTGCTTCTCTGGCTGCTGCTGCAGCCCCTGCTGCTGCTGCTGCTCTCCGTGCTGCTGCTGCTTTTGCTGCTGCTCCCCCTGCTGCTGCGTTTGCTGCTCAGGTTCGCGAATGGCCAGCGGCTCTGCTGCTGCAGCATCTTCATCATAAGTAGCTGCAGCAGGGATACTGAAGTCCTTTTTGCTGCTGTCCTCTGCAGGGTCTTCTGCTGCTGCTGCTGCTGTTGCTGCAGCAGCAGCTGCTGCTGCTAGCAACCCCACTAGCAGCCACAGACGCAGCCGTCCAAGGCCTCTCCCCGCACACTTCATCTTGCTTCGGGAATCTGCCACTGCTGCTGCTGCTGCTGCTGCTGCTGCTGCTGCTGCTGCTGCTGCTGCGCTGCAGTGGCTCTTGCTGCAGTGGCGTCCCAGCTGCGGACCCCCCGCTGCTGCTGCTTCCTTAGGAACGGTCCGCGACGCTGCTGCTGCTGCTGCTGCTGCTGCCGTTTCAGTGGCAGCAGCTAGACTGCAGTTGCAGCTTCTGCTCCCGCTGCTGCTGCTGCTGTTGCTGCTGCTGCTGCTGTTGCTGCTGCTGTCTTCCCAGCCGGCTCAAAGAGACGCAAAGAAGCAGCAGGTATTAGTTGCTGCAGCAGCAAAGAGACAAAAACGGGGGAACGCCCTGGGGGTTCTCTGTTGCCAGTGGATTGGCTAGCGAGGCCAGCAGCAACTGCTGCTGCTGCTGCTGCTGCTGCTGCTGCTGCTGCTGTCTGTGTTTTAAAGGAATGAGAGCAGCTTTCTGTGCGTAAAAAATGCGCCGTCGATGCCTGCTGCTGCTTCTGCTGCAGCAAAGCTTCCCCAGTCCCGCTGCTGCTGCTGCTGCTGCTGCTGAAGGCCCCAGGACTATGTATGAGCCAAGTTGCAGCCAGCCGCTGCTGCTGCTGCTGCTGCTGCTGCAGGCAAATGTTAATTGCTTCGGATTAAGTTAAGCCTTTGTTAGTTTTAAACCGAAAAAGAGATAAAGGCAATTTGGAGTGGCGCTGTAGCAGCAGCAGCAGGCGGGCGCCTGAGCAGCAGCAGCAACAACAGCAGCAGCAGCGGCTGCTGCTGCTGCTGCTGCTGCGGATGTCATGCGTAGGTTGCGGGAGGGAACTGTCTGCGTTTTCTCGGACATAATTCAAGAGAAACAACAGCAGCAACAGCAGCAGCAGCATCAGCAGCAGCAGCAAGAGCAGCTGCAGCAACAACTGCAGCAAAACCACCTCGTGTGTCTCCTGTGCTTCCCCGCTGCAGCAGCAGCGTGAGCCCCAGGTGGCCCCCAAGGCTAATAAGCCCTGAGCTCTAAACCCTAAACCCTAAACACTAAACCCTAAACCCTCATCTTGAAACCCTAAAACGTAGGTTTTCTCGTCTCTCCCCGTTGCTGCGGGGGGGGGCTGCCTGAAGCAGCAGGGGCACAAGCAGCAGCAGCAGCAGCAGCAGCAGCAGCAGCGGCAGCTGCTGCAGCTGGTAGTACTGCTGCTGCTGCAGAAGCTGGTGCGCGGGGCTTCAAGAGCAGCAGCAGCTCCCCACCGCAGCAGCAGCGCCGACAGCATCGGCAGCAGGAGCACGACAGTAGCCACAGCCACAGCAGCAGCAGCAGCAGCAGCAGCAGCAGCAGCAGCAGCAGCAGCAGCAAGATGGAGTCCCATCCTCGGGGGGGCCCTGCAGCAGCAGCTGAGGGCTCTCGTGGCAGCAGCAGAGACCTAAACCCTCACCACAATGAAGAGCTCTCGGACCTCACGGGCAGCGACCTCGAGGAAGACGTGAGGGTTTAGGGTTTAGGGTTTAGGGTTTAGGGTTTAGGGTTTAGGGTTTAGGGTTTAGGGCTTAGGGTTTCGGGTTTCGGGTTTCGAGAGCGTGGGCCAGCTCTTGCTGCTGAGGGCTTCGGGTGCTGGCCGGCTTGGCAGCAGGGCCCTAGGGTTTCCTGTGTACGGCTAGGGTTTAGGGTTTAGGGTTTAGGGTTTAGGGTTTAGGGTTTAGGGTTTGCTTGCAGATGACGTGGATTGAGTGGTTTTGCGGCCTGAAGGGCAACGACATGTTTGTCTTCGTCGACGAGGAATTCGTCCGCGACGACTTCAACCTAACAGGTTTGCTGCTGCTGCTGCTGCTGCTGCTGCTGCTGCTGCTGCTGCTGCTGCTGCAGGGCTGAGCACGGAAGTGCCTTACTACGACAAGGCCTTGACTCTAATAGTCGACGGAGACGTCTCCGACGAAAGCCCTTCTGACGCTGTCTCTTTTGCTTACATTGAAAAAAGTGCTGCGCTGCTCTTCGGCCTCATCCACGCCAGATTCATCCTCACCAACAAGGGTCTGCTGCTGCTGCTGCTGCTGCTGCTGCTGCTGCTGCTGCTGCTGCGGTTGCGGCGGTGCCGCTGCTGCTGCTGCTGCGCTTCGGGGCGTGGTGCCGCTGCTGCTGCTGCTGCTGCTGCTGCTGCTGCTGCTGGGGCTTCGCGCCGCGCCTCCCGCCTGCCCATCCCCCGCCGCCGCCGCTGCTGCTGCTGCTGCTGCTGCTGCTGCTGCTGCTGCTGCTGCTGCAGGGCTGGGTTTGCTGCAGCAAAAAGTGCTGTCGAAGACCTACGGAGTCTCTTGTCCAAATTCTCTCTGCGGCTTTTCCCACTTGGTGCCCTGCGCCTTGACGGACAGTCCCAACCTCCACACCGTCAAGCTTTTCTGCGCGAGATGCAATGTCCGAACCCTTTTTTAGTCCCTCAAAATCCCAATTGCGAGGGTTTACGAGGGTTTTGCGAGGGTTTACGAGGGTTTAGTGGTTGGGGTTTTTTCGAGGGTTTTGGAAAGGGTTTTGAGGGTTTTTGAGGGTTTTGCGAGGGTTTTGAGGGTTTTGGGAGGGTTTTGAGGGTTTAACCGGGACTTTGTCCGAACCCCTTTTTAGTCCCTCTTTTAGGGTTTTGCGAGGGTTTGCGAGGGTTTTGCGAGGGTTTACGAGGGTTTAGTGGTTGGGGTTTTTTCGAGGGTTTTGGAAAGGGTTTTGAGGGTTTTTGAGGG